TATATAGGGCTATCTTTAGTAACTGCATCTTGCCTTTCAAAGCCAAGGATGTACAATAGAAAGTGAAGTGGAAGGTTGGGTAATTATCCAGATAGTTCAGAGATTAACTGGGCTGTTTGCTACATCCCTTAGGTGACTAGTTGAGAACAACCAACTTAATTGATCTAGCTTTCAGTCTTCTGGAGTAAACATTATTAACTTCCTGACGTGCTGCTTAGACAATGAGATTATACCTCTGATGTGTGGATGCCACTTTACTAAGTAACGATCAGTATTTTACGCAATTCATCTTTCAGTCACATGTGAGAACACTTTCTCTATGGAGACAAATTCAAAGTCTCTTTATTCATTACCCTCTCAACCTCTCTTTGCTGATGTTAATACAACGAGAGAACAAGCATCATTAGTAAAATAAACATCATTTTCACTAGAGGTACTTTCAATCAACCTTCACAGGTTTTAAAAATACATACTGCATAGAATACATTTTTGAGGCACATTAGCCATCTATGAGAATATTTAAAATCTAATTTCATAGAATTGCATCTTAAATAATTTACCTTATTGAAATTGTACTAATCACGAAGCCCCTTTAGATTATTTTCTGTTTCAGCCAAATATGTCTCACCAATAAGTTCTTTTTTTTTTTAAGTTTATTTATTTATTTTATCCCCCAAAGCCCCAGTAGATAGTTGTATGTCATGGCTGCACATCCTTCTAGTTGCTGTATGTGGGACGCGGCCTCAGCACGGCCAGAGAAGCGGTGAGTCGGTGCGCGCCTGGGATCCGAACCCGGGCCGCCAGCAGCAGAGCACGTGCACTTAACCGCTAAGCCACGGGGCCGGCCCCCAACCAATAAGTTCTTATTTGCCATTATTCAATAGCCTCTTCATTTTTATAAAAATAGCTCTCCAGGGGCTGACCGGGTGGCACAGCGGTTAAGTGTGCATATTCTGCTGTGGTGGCCCAGGGTTTGCAGGTTTGGATCCCAGGCACGCACCAACACACCACTTGTCAAGCCATGCTGTGGCGGCGTCCCATATAAAGTAGAGGAAGATGGGCACAGATGTTAGCCCAGGGCCAGTCTTCCTCAGCAAAAAAGAGGAGGGTTGGCGTGGATGGTAGCTTAGGGCTGATCTTCCTCATAAAAAAAATAAAAATACAGCTTCACAATATTTCTGAAGCTAAAGGGCATTTTTTAGCTTGTTTTTATGATGGGCGAAGGAGTATGTATGTTTACATACAGAAATAGACACGATACCTCAGTTACAGGAGAGACCAAAGATGCTGAGCAAAGAAAGTGATTGCTAGTACAGACATACATATGTCCTTGTGACACCGAAACAAACAGTGGAAAAGCGATAAAAAGTCGATGAGTGTACTATCTATAAACTGTTAAGCAACTCATGCTTTATCTACTCTAAAAGGATGGGAGTTTTCTATGATTTTATTATAGGTTTCTCATTTTTTCATTGTTGATTTTAAATGAAACTGAATGTATCAGGGTGTGTTGTTACATTCTAAACAGAGCCTGTAGGCAACCCACATCTTCTTCTCACCCCATGTCACGTATCTCCCCAGTTCAAGTACAAGTGAACTCCTTTTCATGTAAGATAGCAATACCATATGTTCTAACTTCAGAAAGACAGAAATTGTCTCAGGATCCTAGTTATCAGTTCGGAAAATATATGTTTATACATATATATGCATATAGTAATTGCATTTCAATAGTATAACTTCTGCTACAAATATCTTTAATTAAAATAAAAACACCACAGATTTTTCATATTTCAGTTTTAATAAAATTCATACTTCAAGTTAATGCAAATAAAGACAACAAGTTCTGAATAAATGTGTTTAAATATTATTAAATAAGAATTATAAAAGTGAACTTTGTACATGATTATTTAACAAACATATTAGTAAAAATCATATATAAAAAAGCATTTCTCATTGGCACTCTCGGACATAATTTACATAATTAAATATATAATTTATACATACATGAAATGTTAACCATATAAGAAAATAATATATACAGCAAAAATAAAGTCGAATAGCATAATTTTTAGTATTCAATTTTCAATATGTGAATTAAGCTTTGTTTTAAAAAATTTCAAATTACTGTATACACAAAGATAAACCAAGAAAGACTCCATTCTGTGGTAGGCACAGCTAATCAGTTATTTCTGAGAAGTCTCTGATTTTACCCATCTTCATATGCCATAAAATTAGAAGTTTCACCTCTTTTTACATTTAGTATGAGTCCAAGCACTTTTTTCTTCAAATTAAATTTACATTCTTATGAAACGCCTGTGGTGGGGAGAAGAAAAATGTCATTTATGACCTGATTTACTTAAAAATACGCATAGTTTTACTATAGTTTTATTCTATTTTATTTTGCTTAAAGAATCTGTGGGCTTGTACTTTGTAGTCTGATCCTGAGATGTGGACTAATGTGTGTGTGGGGGAGAGAGGAGTAACCAGTCCTTGAGAGCCTTTACATGATGAATTCCCCATTAAAGTTTTATGATATCCAGATAAACCAAAAAATGAACTTGACATCACCTAATAACTTAAAAATATTCCTAAAATTTACTAATCTGTAATACAGTGATTGTAATATCTTGTTAAATAATTAGAAACAGATGCTATCATAGATGACATCTACAGAGGAAATCACTGAATCTCCAAACTCTGCAATTTTAAAGGAGTGTATTTATCAGCTCTGCCTTCTATGGATCTAATCCCAGGAGGATGTAAGTTTGCACACAATATTTTAAATGATAATGCTGCACTTGTTTTTTAAGAACTTTTCCAGTTATTATGTTGTTTGTTGGACTTTATGTAAACTTACTCATTCACATAAAATATATTTTAAAAAAGAGATAAATATGGCATGATTTAGGTCATTTCAATAGCCTAATGAATTTTCTTGATTTATTCATGTTTTACATTATTCAAAGATTTGAGACGGACAGGTTGAGTGTAATTGATTCAAGTATCTTGCCACTGAACACTGAAATAATCTAGGTCATTTTCTTAATCTAAAAGACGAGAAAAAATTAAATTTAGCAGAATTAAGAGTGCCAATTATTATTATTAATTTATAATTGCTTTTTAAATAAGAATAGCAACAACAACAACAGGTCAGTATTGTCTCAGTAACTGTCATGACAAAATGGGTGAACTAAATCCCATGCGGTTCTTTGGGACAGATTAAGTTACATTAGCCAGACTGTGATATTCTCGGACGCTTCTAGACTACAGGTGCTCAACGACTCACTTCCACCCTCAAGCTGAGGAACCAGTTTCTTTAAAGGGACTTGTCCGTGGTACTGAAATGCTGATCAAAAAAATGTTGACTTTGTTCTCCACTGGAAACTACTACTGATTAGAAAGATCTTTGCCAAAAAAAAGAATATCTTTCAGTCTTTTGTATACATTCTACTTTTGTAAATAAATGTTACAATCTGCATTAGATTTATTTAGGTTATACAAATACTTTATTGCTCTAGGGTTCCTAGGGTAATTTAGCCAGAATGAAAATTCTGACTTACTCTTTCACTTTGGCAAAGCACATGCAAGAGCTGATGACGATTACATGTCCATTATAGTTTTGATCCTTTGCTCTTTCTTCTAATCTTCCAATACTTTCTCTCTTCTCCTTACCTATACTGCGTAAACTAAAATTTTAGGACTCGGTTCTACTTTTATTATATCTTTTGAACAGTTAAGAAAAGGTAAACCTTTAAATAGTTTTGTTCCATTGGGAGAAGATATTTGCAAACCATACATCTGATAAGGGCTTAATCTCCAAAATATATAAAGAACTCATGCATCTCAACAACAAAAAAACTACCAACCCAATTAAAAAATGGGCAAAAGACCTGAACAGACATTTCTCCAAAGAAGATATACAGATGGCCAACAGACACATGAAAAGATGTTCAAAATCACTAACTATCAGGGAAATGCAAATCAAAACTACAATGAGATATCACCTGACGCCCGTCAGAATGGCTATAATTAACAAGACAGGAAACAACATGTGTTGGAGAGGATGTGGAGAGAAGGGAACTCTCATACACTGCTGGTGGGAGTGCAAACTGGTGCAGCCACTATGGAAAACAGTATGGAGATTCCTCAAAAAATCAAGGATAGAACTACCATATGATCCAGCTATTCCACTGTTGGGTATTTATCCAAAGAACTTGAAAACACCAATTTGCAAAGGTACATGCACCCCTGTGTTCATTGCAGCCTTATTCACAATAGCCAAGACTTGGAAGCAACCTAAGTGCCCATCAAGGGACGAATGGATAAAGAAGCTGTGGTATATATACACAATGGAATACTACTCAGCCATAAGAAACGACGAAATCCAGCCATTTGTGACAACATGGATGGACATTGAGGGTATAATGCAAAGTGAAATAAGTCAGAGGGAGAAGGCCAAATACCGTATGATTTCCTTCATTAAGTAGTAGATAATAACAACAATAAACAAACACATAGGGACAGAGATTGGATTGGTGGTTACCAGAGGGGAAGGGGGGAGGGTGGAGGGTGAAAGGGATAATTCGGTACATGTGTGTGGAAAAAAAAAAAATAAAATAAAAATAATCAGCCTGAAATAAAAAAAAAATAAATAAATAAATAAATAAATAGTTTTGTTCCTCTAATATCTATATGCACATGGTTTCTGGATAATAATAAAATAATACGAAACGTTGAAAGAATTTCAAGAATCACTCAGGACTGATAAGGCTGCCAAAAAGCTGTTTTATCTTAATTTAATCACTGTTGAGGGCATTTTTAATTAATTCAATGAACCAGTCTGTGCAGTTAGACCAAGCTTTAACACTAAGTGAAAATCCAGAGATTAAATTCACTGAGTGTTTCTAAAATGAGCTACCTGGCTTTTTAAATTGTTCAAAATTTCTTATGAAAGTTAGGCTATTAAAGGGAATAAGAAAAATAAATAAATACATACTCACAGGGTATGTTTTCTAGGTTTGCGAGCACAGTGGACTCACTGCTAATCTTGTTAGCAATCTAGCACATCTTTTGTAATCTAGGAAAAACATTTAAAGGTAAATTATGTATATAGTTACTACAAAAGTAATACAAAAATTACTACAAATGTGGGGAAAATCATGTTAATTATTGTCACTACTTCATAACAATGATAGCTATAATTTACTAAGCACCTAACACATCAAGTGCTTTACCTAATATTCCCATTAATTCTCCTAATAACACAGTCAGGTAGGTGCTATTGTTATCTTCACTTTAGAGATGAGAAGCCTCAAAATGTTAAGAACCTCATAGCTAGTAAGCTGTTGGACTCCAAAGCATGCACTTTCTCCCCTGTGCAGGGCTCCCACTTAGTCATTCTGCCTTGTGTCCAACATGATTAATTTTCCCTGGTCATTAAACACAAGTTGTTTTTGAAAAAATTAAAACAACTTAGACTCAACAGCTTGAGTAAAATTAAATAATCCTCAAGATGACCAATCTTGTTACAAAGACACAAAGTGTTTAAAATTCATTTAACTTTAGAAGGAAAGTTTAGGTTTAGAAAGAAATGTAAAAACAGCCATTGAATTCCCACACAATCATGATTTGGGCAGTTTAAATGATAGCATTTAAATATTATGTTTGGAATTACAACTAAATTCAGTAACTTAAGTATCCAAAAGAATTCATTAGAGCAACCGTTAAAACACAGGCTAACATCGTTCAGAAAAATCTATCACTCATTGTATAAATGATGTAATAGGAAAATATTTACTTTAAAATAACTTATGAGGAAATTTTGACTTATACTTCATTGTCATCTTATTTTTTTCATTTATATGAGAGAGCACCTTATTTATGCCAAGGAATTTGAAAAATGGTAAAAGGTTTAGATCCTGACAAACATTTTGGTCCTTAAGGAAATCTGGCTATCTTCAGACTTAGATATATTCCCATTAGGATGTGGTTTCATTCCTTATAGTGTCAACAGCACACACACACCTTAATTTAAGTACTGTCAATGTTATAAATAGCACCTCATACAATGTTTAGTCTAGCACTTCTCACCCACAGACAGCTGAAGTTTAAAATTACATGCATTTATTGTTGGATAAAGATTAAAAAAAAAAACGACTGCCCAAGCTACTTACAAGCTGGGGTTGAGCAATCTCTGGTGTTGTGATAGAGTCGATGGAAATGTTTTTTACATTCAGCTGAAAATGTGACTGGCCCTAGTGGAAAGGAAAAGAATGCTTATCATAAACATAGGTGTGGTTTCTAAACAAACTTGCTAGCACTTTATGGATGGAGATAATGTAACTGTGGTTTACATCCTTCCATGCCCTTAAAAGAACTTGCCTGACAGCTCTTCTCCTCACCCAGACTCTGTAGGAGGTAGTGAGTTGTGATCTGTGAAAAATACTCTAAATTCATTCCACATTCTCAACATCTCACATAATGGAATTTTCAGTTTCAGGAGAACTCTTTAGAATAATTGGGAGGAAAAAGTTCTAGACAGAAAAAATATATATATATCTGTAGACAGCAAATCAAGTGGATGTGAAGAATGAAAAACAAATATCCTTGGTTTCTACTTCAGTTTTTTATTTAATAGGAATTAATGTTTATATGCAGAGACATTTATTCCATTTTCCAGTTATAGTAATTTGTGTCTTATTAGTGTCAAGGACTATTGTAAAGAGGACAGGGCCTTGAGACTTCCCTTATCTATCCCCACAAATCCAAGATGGTCTCTGCCAAGACTCAACCCTACATCTGGAGTCTGCTTTTTTGGAAGTGGTAGAATAGGAGAGCACACAGTCATGCCGCTAACAGAGTGCCTAGAAACGCTCAGGATGGGGAAATTCCTTACAATTCCCTGTGCCTCCAGTGGGTCTCGGCTTGATCCTCACGACCATCATTCTGAAGTTAATTAACAAATATGGCCCTTGGCTTTGATTAAGTGGGAAAATCATGTCTTTCCCACCTTATAGGCTGGAGATATGACACAATGAAAGGTTGCTGGGACGATTAGGAACAGACAGGCAATAGCAATAGTAAAGGTGTGGTGCATGTTCAAATAATTTAGTGATGTGCTAGAATGTGGGGCACAGGATGATTTCTCATGATTCACAAAGTTGATACGAAGAACAAAACAGTGTCATGAGAGAGCATTTCATCTGTGCTTAAAATATGGCACATGAAAGTCTGCCTCTCCCCTGTTCAAAAAACTTCTATTGCCCCATTGACTGGGGAGCACAGTCTAAATTCCTTAGCATACCATGTAGGATTCTTCACAATAGGACTCCAACCTACCTTTCCAGCCCAGTAGCCACACACATCTTTACCTAAACTTACCCCACAGTGCATCCATAGCATCTACCTGTCCTGCCCCCAAACCAACCAAGTGCTCAAAGGGTTCGTTCTGACCAGCATGCCTCTCTCATCCCAGAAAATCCTATTCATCCTTTACAGCCCAACTTAAATATCACATCCACTCCAAGCCTTTCTTGGTAGTTCTTGGCAAAATTATTCACTTCCCGTGTATCCCTCAAGTCTTCTATTACTTATCAAGATCTGGTTTACATTACAGTTAATAGAAGATAATAGCATTTGTCCACCTCCCTAACCCGACTGTGAGCCTCTTACAGATATTTATCTTGGTATCCCAAGCATCTAACAGAGTAATTTGCATACAATCTTTTAATTTAATTGAATCACTGATAAATTTTATGCTTACCTGTGAAATGCTTAATGAATTTGTCTTTCAAGTTCAAATCTCTTGGGAATATGTCTGAAAAGTAAAAAAAAAAAACTTTAGAATTTCTTGAATGCACTTCCATCATGAAAAATATCCTGATAAATAGGCTATAACGAGAAGCACTAAACACAGGAACTCGTGGCAATTTATGCAGCTGACTCCAAGTCTGTATCTCCAGCCCTCACCATCCCCTGGGGCTCCAGACCTCCAGCAAAGCCAGCTGCTTGTTCTCTTGCTTTGTTAGGGAACCTTACAGACCTTTCCAAAGAGCAGAGCCAGAACTGAACGTCTGACATCCCGGCTACCGCAGACCTGTTTCTCCTGCATGTTCCCCAGTCGCAACAAATGGCCTCTCTTTACCCCTTGCTCAGACCAAATATCAAGAAGGTATGCTTGACTTCCTCCTTCCCTCCTTCCCATTGGATAGTGCATCCAATCCATCCCTTAATTTTGTATATTCCACCTCCAAACATTATCTGAGACCCAACCACTTCTGTTTCGTCTCACTAACACAAGACGGGTGCAAGCCATCACACTTCTGTGACTGTTCTTGGGCAGCAGCCTCCGAACTGCTCTTCTCCTTCCTACATAATCCGCTGTCCCCACAGCAGCCAGAGCACAGGAACTGAAATGTACGTCAGGTCACGATACTCTCTCCCTCAAAAGGTTTTGTGCTTAGAATAAAAGAAAATAAAAAATCAAACTACATCTCAGACTTCACTTTGTACTATAAATCCCCATCCAGAAAATGCAATTTATAAAAACAATTTGGGAGCATATGCAACTCTTTTAGAGGAAAAGAAAACTGAAACTTTAATAAAATCTTGAACCTCATTTTCGTTGGCAGTTACACGTTTAAACTCACCAATAGACTGACTCCTGTGCATTTCAAGCATCATATGAAGATAATGGGGGCATGAATGTTTGTCAGCTCCCTACAGGTGAGTGGGAATCACCGCATTGACTTGTGTGACCTCACTGAGACAAGGCAGTAGAAAACGAAGGCATGGGAATTCTAACATCTCATTGAGATGAGGCACACAGCTGGGCCTTACGCCCCTTTATAGCCTCTGTCCTTAATTCTAAGGGTGATAAGAAGTCAGAGAGTTTTAGACAAGGGAATGACACGGTCAAGCTTCATTTTTAAAAGATCATTATGCCAAGTATGGAGGGGCAAGAATAGATGCAGAGAGACAGGTTAAAAGGTTAACAGAGAAGTTACTGTATTTCTATTTCCAATAGCGCTGGCCTGTGCAGGGGTCAGGGAACTACGGCTCGGGAGTCAAATCCCGCCCTACCCTGTTCTTGTAAATAAAACTGTATTTGAGCACAGCCATGCTCCTCTGTTTACACACAGTCTCTGCCTGCTCGTGGCACACGCAGAGTGAGTGGTTGTAGCAGAGATCGTGTGGCCCACAAAGCCCAAAGTATTTACCATCTGGTCCTTTCTAGAAAATGTTTGCCAGCGCCTGCTCTTCAGCACCGTCCTCCTTGTCCTAAAACAAACTAAAATGGTGGCTGTCTGCAGGGCGGCACCAGGAGTAGGATGCCGGAGGTGGGAGAGAAGAGACACTGCAACGCAAACTCTTTTTAGTAATTTTAACTTTTTTAAACATAAATCTGTATTAATTTTTCAGTAAGAAACTATTTGATTGAAAATGAATTTGTATTTAGTGATGAGATGCTCCCGTGCTAGTTTTTCATCAACAAAACATGAAATGAATGACTGAATATGAGAGAACTACCCCAAACAACAAAATTAGCTGATTGATCTCTGATGGAAAATGGTCTTAAAAAGCAATCTCCACTATAGAAATGTGAGCCACATATGTAATTTTAAATTTTTTAGTAGCCACATTCAAAAAAGTAAAAAGAAATAGGTGAAATTAACTTAATAATTTATTTTATTTAACCCAATATATCCAAAATATTATCATTTCAACATGTAGTCAATATTTTTAAATTACTAATAAGATATTTCACATTTTTTAATACTAAGTTTTCAAAATCCGAGTTATTTTACACTCACAGCACATCTCAACTTGGACCAGCCACGCTGCAAGTGCTCAATGGTCATAGGTACCTAGTGGCCCCGTGCTGGACAGACACTTAAATTGAAATGTTTGCTATACAATTCCTTTAGTTATCATTTCCTTTAGTTAAAGAGATGATATGATTATTCTTTCTCAATATCTGAAAACTGTTCTATCTGCAAAACTAAGAGCTAGCTTTAGTACATCAGTGCTGAGAGAATTACCAACAAAAATAAAAGTATTTGAAAAAAAATTCAAATTTATTAAATATTTGAGAGAAAAAGCTGATGACAAACATATTCGAGCAATATCTTTTTAAAATACTAAATTAAAAGTATTTTTAAATACCCTCTCATAAAATGTGTACTTTCTTCTTTCCTTGTATAGTTAAATAACACCTGTACTAGTATATATTTGTAAATGTGTAAATATACATTTTTATATTATGCCTCTTCTATTAGAGTTTAAGATATTTAAATAGAGAGATGGATGGCTGTAACTCTCTTTATATGTAACAACTTACTATGGGGCTATTTAACCTGCACATTACACTCAGGATGATAAAGTAAAATCAAACTAGTTGCTTATTATCTTTCCAGTTTTTGCTACTCAAAGTATGTTCCACAGACCAGCAACATCCACTCCCAAGAAGCACCCTTGCTGTTCTTAGTGGTTGCTGACTAAATATCTCAGTTCCAGGGGTCTTCTGGGGGCCTGTAAGAAGTACAGAATTTCAGAGCCAGACCTAAAGAATCACTTGAACAAGAATTCCTAGGAGATTCATTTGCACATTCAACTTTGAAAGCAGGAATCTAAATCTTCCAAGCAAGATATAAAACTTCTTGACTACGCAGTACTGAATTACTTCATTATCAGTAAGTTATAAGATTATTACTAACTAATGTATTTGTAGTTTGTGATTATTAGAAGACAAGACACAGAATTCTTTTCAGTAAAAACATGTCATCATCGGTTTTGCTGGTGGTGTTGGTGGCAGTCTTCTTTTGTATTTTCATCACTTCTTTACTTTCTGACACCACCAGATGCTCCAGGCTCGTCTTGAATCGTTTCCTTTTCCAGTCTTAGAATCAGCCTTTTCTCCAACGAGCCCTGGTTCCTTTTATTAGAGGATGGGCACAAGGTGTGCTTGCGGCTCCTGGGAGGTGGCTGCTTCCAGGCCCTCTCAGCTGACACAACAAGGAATTATGAGTGGTATGTATGGGCAACCTGATTTTTAATACACCCAGTGTTTAAATTATTTCTAAAATTGTACTATGGTGCTTTACAGAATATATTTTTGGAATGTGCAGCATCTGTAATATTTCACCAATGATATTACAAAGAACCACACAAATCATTTTAAACTACGAGTTCAAATATACGGTCATATTGAATCACGCTTTGTGCCCAACGGCGCACACACTCTCTCCTAGAACCCACAGTCAAACTTCGCCTTCTCACCAAAGTTAGATGCTATGTCAAGCCAGACACCTCCAAAGATGCCTTGGTTTCCTTTTTTCATAAATTGAGGTAAACAAAAGAAAGAATCTCTCAAGTTCTTTCCACGTCCTAATTTATAAAATATTATGACAAAATTCTAACTTTAATGGTATGTTCACCAAAAAGCAAAATATTAAAGGAGTCCAGAGAACTTTAAAAAATACAAAATTATGTTACAAAGTAGATTTCTGTCTGGTTTTAAACCACAGGTCAATTCATGTTTAATTTAAACTTTAGCCATTTCATTTGCTAATTTGCAAATCTCATGAAAATGATTTATTCCATTTCTAGTTTTGACCTAGTTAATCTCTTCCCAGATTTAAAATGATCACGTCAATAGACATTTAAAAAGACAAACCAGATTTTTATAAAAATGTTAAAGAAAACATTTCAAAAACAAACAGATGTACAGCATTTTACATGTGATAACATTTTTATGCATAATCAGTTATTTAAAAATGACAAGCAGGGGCCGGCCCAGTGGCGCAGTGGTTAAGTTCGCCCGGTCCGCTGTGGCAGCCTGGGGTTCGCAGGTCCAGATCCCCAGCACGGACCTACACACCACTCATTAAGCGATGCTGTGACAGCGTCCCACATGCAAGACGGAGGAGGATGGGCACGGATGTTAGCTCAGGGCTAATCTTCCTCAGCAAAAAGAGGAGGATTGGCAACGCATGTTAGCTCAGGGCCGATCTTTCTCACCAAAAAAATAATAAATAAATAAACAAACAAATAAATAATGACAACCAAACTACAGTCAATTAGTGCTAGCAGTAAACACAGGATCCAGCCCCACTGATGGTCTTGTTGGGTTAGGCAGCTAGAAGCCTATCAACAAACTGAGCCACTGGAAAAGCCCACAGGGCTGTTAGTCCAGTCGTGAATTCCCACCACCCTAGAAGCACAGCCTCTAAGAAGCAAAATCTTGCCTTTACTGAGACCAGAATTACTAAGGCAGATTTGAAGGCAGAAGCATGGGTAGAGTTAGAGAAAGGTCAGGTTGGAGATTTCCTGTAGTGGAGATATTCAGCAAATAGTGGATGTGTGTGGGTAAAGGACAGGGAAGAGAAAAGGGAAGGAGATACATTCTGGAATCAGTCACCCAGAAGCAATAGTTGAAACTAGAGAGGTGCATAGGACCACACAAGGGAACACTTCAAGTGCAAAAAATGCACGACCAGGAGCAGACCCCTGCGATGCACACTTAAAGAGCAGCCAGAAGACAGGTGGTCAGGGAGAGAAAGAAGAAGGGTCAGAGAGGTAGAAGAACAAAGCAGGAATAATGGTGGAAACGTGAGAATCGTTTAAAAAGGACAGGGAGGGGTCAACAGCAGGGAAGCATCCCCGCGTCAGGTAAGACAATGACTGACAGGTGTCCCCTGGGAGACGGCTGGAGCCCAGGTGCACAGTGGCAGGAACACATAACAGAGGGCCAGCCAGCACCCAGGCGAGTTCGTGAAAGAGGACTGATTTTGTCCTGTGGGTTGTATTAATCATGCC